GAGGGACACGTCTGAGCAGCTCATCTTCAGGAGTGCAGGGAGGTCACAGAAGAAGTGGGGGATGGTATTGTCAGCACAGAAGGACACTTGGATCAAGAGCAGAGTGTGCAACAGAGAGTGGTTCAGGCAAACAAACCAGGATCCCGCTACTAAGGAGACACACAGCTCCTGCCTCATGATGGTGGTGTAGTGGAGGGGCTGACAGATGGCTACGTACCTGTCAAAGGCCATCACTGCAAGAAGGAAACTGTCAAGAGTGGCAAAGAACAGTAAGAAATACATCTGGGAAATACATTCTCTATAGGAGATGGACAGTTGCTGAGTGTGCATGTTCGTGAGCATCTTAGGGACAGTGACAGATGAGAAGGAGACATCAGTGAAGGCCAAGTGGCTGAGGAAGAAGTACATGGGGGTGTGGAGGCGCGAGTCCAGCCTGATGAGCAGGATGATGAGCAGGTTCCCCAGCACCGTGGTCAGGTACATGCCTAGGAACAGGGCGAAGAACAGACCCTGCTGCTCTGGCCGGATGGGGAGCCCCAGGAGGAGGAACTCAGACACGCTGCTCTGGTTCTCCCACCTCATGCTGCTCATGTCTCTGTTGGCGATGAAGGAGAGAAGGAAAGGTAGGAAGTCTAGCATATGAACTGCACCAACATTGCAATATCCTTTCTCCCTGAAGGCATGATTTTTTAACCATGATCTATTTACTGCCCACACCTGTGGATGCGTGAATCAAAGTCTGTCACAGAGGCCTCTGAGGGAACATACTACCTCATAATACCTTACAAAGTTTTCCTCCCAATGAACCAGAGGACATTTTTCTGTATTCCACAAATACGTCTTGAACAACTGCCTTGGCCCAGGCCCCCCACAAAGCACTGAGTCCATAACAGCAAGCAGGAAATGCAGCCTCTGCCTTCAAGGAGTTTCCATCTTTCTGTCATTGCAGGTCACATGACAGTACCTGGCACGCATGGCAAAGTCATGAGATGGGCAGCAGGAGAGAATCCATAACCTCCTCTTAAGAGACCTACACAATCTAAACTGGAAAAGAATACCTGGTGATTTCTCACAAGCTAGAGAGAAATTGGCAGGATGTAACTGATGAGAGATATTGCTATTCCCCGTCAACAAAAGTCCATCCAGGATCTTAAACAAACTCTAATAATAACGTCAAATCTTTGCCTGTAACCTACAGCATGCAGGGCCCTATCCTATGGTTTCATATGTGCTTTCTACCTAAATCCTAGGCATAGCCCTAATAAAGCAATAGTATAAATCATATTTTTTAACCTTGAGGAACAAAATATACACTATCTAAATGTGCAAATATACATCAATAATCACCAAAAAAAGGCCAAATCAGAATATATCTCTATGGACAGAATCCACCATTAAACTCTCTGCAAACATCTCACTTCCCCAGTAGATAGAATAAATATAAATATAATATAAAAATAAATCTAAAGATTATATGACATATATGGTAATTATGCCCTTCATTTCATAGATGGGAAAACAATCAGGACAAAGATATAAAGGTCAACAAGGTCTCTAAGTTCTCTGATGGTGGATTCCAGACTCACCCTTCCTTTTGCAGTGAGTTACAGTTAAGATTAGACACACACACACACACACACACACACACACACACTTTCTCTCTCTCTCTCTCTCTCTCTGAAGAGGGACCCTCACTGTATCAATGAAGCAGGGAGCAGGACAGTGATGTCTACCCAGGGACCATGAACTTGCTGAGGGCTCTGCTTACCTTGGTTCACAGCCACCAACAGGACAGTGTCTGGAGGGGCATGTGGAGGCCTGGCTGCCCACTCTGGTTCTCCCTGAGAACAGAGGAAAGGTTCTCCGCCTCACTGAGAACCAGAGGAAACAAGCAGGAACCAACTGGACCAAATGGGACCTTGACTGGGGCAGGGCTTGTGAGGAAGGGTCTGGGTCCCAGCCCTGGATGGATCAGGCCATGTGCTCCCGTGTGTGTGGGTGTGCAGGGGCCCCTGATCTTAGCCTTCTACTTGCCCTGCCCCAGACAGCAGCAAATTGGGGGTCTCCATCACACTGGAACTGGCTTGGGGAAAGAGAATAAAAATCCTCCTCTTTTCTGAACACCAATCACGAGCCAGGTGAGGTCCTGTGTAGTCTGTTTGCATTGTCCCATTACTCCTCAGAATAGCACTGTATGAGGGAGTAGTTACCCTCTTTTGACAGACGGGATCTGAATGTCAGAGAGCAAACTTAAGGGCTAGATGAGGACTGCACCGCAATGGACATGCTGCAGGCACTGTGGTCCCATCCATCAGTATGTGACACCTGCCCAGTGGGGTGACCTGAGTGACCCTCTCAATGCAGAGATGACCAGTGTGCATGGCCACTAATGGGTCAGTGAAGAATGCACGTGAGCCCCATGCCATCGACGCTGCCCCACAGAAACACTGCTGATAATGAAAACATCAAAACTCAACCACACACTACACCTTGGAGTGACATGCATATGTCAGTTTTGCCATAAACAAAAGCCACATCACACCTACTACTTGATTCTGTAACGATTTCAGATCCTTCCCCTGCTGCTCAGGGATAAAGGCAGGATCCCTGCTCCAGAGTGAGGAGCACATCTTCTCTCTTTACAATCTGCAGTCTCTTTCCTTGCCTGTGCTGAGTAGTCAGAGATGAACACGTGGGAGTCATGCAGCAGGGAGGGCAGATACTAGAAATCAAAGAACTGGTTAAGAGACTGCAGGTCCCACCCAGCAGTGGTGCCCACTTGCCTATTGGGGACCCAGTAGGTGCTTGAGCTCTGGGCCAAAGAGAGGAAAAGAATCACCTCGTGTCATTTTACCTCTGTCTCTTGTGTCCGTGTCTCTGTCTCTTCCTTACCGTCTTTTCAATCTCTGATTCAGTCTATGTATGTATAAATATGTAGGTACATACAAAATTCTGGCAGGAGACATATTTTTACCTACATTACAAGCAAAGACCCATAAGGAATCGATAGGAAGAAACATTTTTTTTCCTCTTAGAATTTACAGCACACTCTGACCTGCCATTCTTGCTAAGTCAATGACCTTCTAATTAGTGTCTATGTTCTCAGCTGCTGTGGTGGACACCAGGCAAAAAATACGAAGCAAATCTCCCTGACCCTATGACCTCCTGACTTTTTGTGTCTGCCCTTGAACTTCAAAATAATAGCAAGAGGATGCCATTTTATAAACCATGAGAGGACAAAGAAATAGTCCCTATACACTTGGTGAAAACTGTCTGCTTTAATTGCTGCAGTTCCTATCAGACCTTGGGGAGGAGCCTTTCAGAGGCCAAAGAGACTAAACTGGGGAACCACCTGGGAAGGTGTCTCGGGTACAGGGACACTCTGGGTTGCCCAGAGACCTAGTTGGGAAGCAGGATCTTCTAACACCCGACTTCTAACACCCATGTGGCCAATGCCCTGGTGGGACAGCACTGGATGCTGGGCTCTGCCTGTCATTTTTGGTGGCTCTGAACATGTAACTTCCACAACCTTGTTTCACTTTAAAGTGCAGATAATCAGAGTACCATCAGTACGAAGTTTTTATTAAAGTTATATTAGAACATTTCTGCAAAAGCATGTAAGAGCATCATAAATATCAGTTCTTACCACATGAGAGCACCATAAATGTCAGTTCTTACTGTATATTCCAAGAAAGGAGATGTAAATATATGATTATTCATGTTGCTACAGTATTGATATGAATGAATAATAATTAGTTGATTTATAATTTGAAAAGTCTGTTGCAGTCTGTATGCAAACAATAGGTTAGAAGAGAGAAAAACGAATAATCCCATTCACAATTACACAGAAAGAACAGAATACCTAGGAGTAACTTTACAAAGGAGATGAAGGATCCATACAATGTGAACTATAAGACATTATTAAGAGAATTATGGAATGGGCACAGCAGACCTCTCCTGCCTTACCTGTTGCTACTTTTAGCAGTGTGCTTCAATAAATCTCCCTGTTCTGTTTTCCACATTGCCCCTGATAAATTCTTCCACCCTTATGCTCAGGCCTACACCTGTTGTTCCCCATTCAAAAAAAAAAATATATATATATGGAGTGGAAGAATTTACATTAATTTACATGCTACCAAAAGAAATATATATATATATATATATATATATATATATATATATATATATATATTCAATACAACCCTGGAGGACTGTCCATAAAGTGAAAGGCAGATATGGGTGGTTATACTTATCTGTGGAATATAAATAACCAAACAGCATATACTGGCAAAATATAGCAAAAAACATGATCTTGAACTAGGGAAAAAACATTATTTATTAGGGGAGAAAGCAAGGTGTGTGAGCAGTGAGTGGGGTGAGGGGCTAGGGCACTGGCATAGGTGGTTTGGTGGATGGTGGTGGAATATGGGCATCTGTGGAGGAGTCAAAATATACATCCACAATTACAGTATCTTTTAACTTAAAAAGAGCCCCATCACAGACGTTCCCATTCCATAGTGTAGGTATTCCCAATAGAGCTGACTTCAATCTACCAACATGTCTTTGTAGAGTTGGGAAGAGCTGTGACCCATCAACATGAAGATGAGGCAAGCTTGTTCAGCCCCCATCACGTAACATCAGTCCACTAGCAGCAGATCATGAAGCTAGATCTGTGTCTTCATAACATAACAGAAAAAATACATGCATGAACAGTGACATATCTCAAAGTAGAAGCCAAAACACATTTGTAACTGTCTGAAATAGTTTTATAAGGTTTTGCACGTAACTTGTAAGAGATGAAAAAAAAGCACAACAAAGTAATGAGGATAAAGAATATTTAACAAACCAAGTTACCAAATCTGACCTAGATGATGCATTAACATCTCTGACAGCAGAATGCATGTTCTTTTCAAGTTACATGGAGTTATCAACCTTCTCACATAATTTTAGGAGATACAGCTTATGGTGTTTGTGACTGAAATCACATGATTTACAGGTCATCACTTGAATAAGTTCACCTTATTGACAAATGTGTCTAAGGCCTGTTTTATATCTCTGTTCCTCAGGTTGTAGATGAAGGGGTTCAGCATGGGGGCGACGACCATGTACATCACAGAGGCGGTCATGTCTTTGTCTCTGGAGGTGGACGATGAGGAGAAGTAAACTCCTGCAGAGGTCCCAAAGTATAAAGACACAACAAGAAGGTGGGAGCCACAGGTAGAGAAGGCTTTAAAGATACTTTTAGTGGAGGGGACCCTCAGGACAGTGGTCCCTATACGGACATAGGAGCCGAGGATGCCACCCAAAGGCAGGGTAAAGAGCAATCCTCCCTCAGTGAAGATGACCAATTCATTGAGGGACACGTCTGAGCAGCTCAACTTCAGGAGTGCAGGGAGGTCACAGAAGAAGTGGGGGATGGTATTATCAGCACAGAAAGACACTTGGATCAAGAGCAGAATGTACAACAGAGAGTGGATAAGGGAAAATATCCAGGACCCAGCTACTAACGAGACACACAGCTCCTGCCTCATGATGGTGGTGTAGTGGAGGGGCTGACAGATGGCCACATACCTGTCAAAGGCCATCACTGCAAGAAGGAAACTGTCAAGACCAGCAAAGAACAAAAAGAAATACACCTGGCTAACACACCCACTATAGGAGATGGATAGTTGCTGAGTGTGCATGTTTGTGAGCATCTTTGGGACAGTGACAGATGAGAAGGAGACATCAGAGAAGGCCAAGTGGCTGAGGAAGAAGTACATGGGGGTGTGGAGGCGCGAGTCCAGCCTGATGAGCAGGATGATGAGCAGGTTCCCCAGCACCGTGGTCAGGTACATGCCTAGGAACAGGGCGAAGAACAGGCCCCGCTGCACTGGACGGATGGGGAGCCCCAGGAGGAGGAACTCGGACACGCTGCTCTGGTTCTCCCACCTCAAACTCTTCATGTCTCTGCTGGGGATGAACGAAAGGTGAGGAAGGAAGTCTAGAATTATCTGCAACAACTTGGCAATATACTTTTTTTTTTTAAGAACCCATTCGACTTGACAACAAAACCTCAAAACAGGGCCTCCCTGGGGGCAGAGTGGGTTTAGCACCATGCTATGAAGCTTTATGCAGCTTTTACAACTCGGGTTAGATTCCTGGCCGGCTGGGGAGAGTCCCTTATCACGAGGCAGACCTCTCCTGCCTCACATGCTGCTCCCCTCAGCAGTATTATTGATCCATCTGCCTGTTCTGCTCCCTGCCTTGTCTCTGGTGAATCCTCTCACCCTCCTGAGCCTCTGAACTCTACCCCAATTCTTGCATAATTAAATAAATCTTTATACATACATATATATTTATATATATATATATATGTACATGAACCCAAAACAACGCTACTACAACATGGGCAAAAGATTGCAATAGATACTTCTCCAAGAAAGTCTGTAGTTGGTCAATGAATATATGGGGAAAAAAAATCTTGTCTTTACTCTAATAAAGGAAATGGAAATCAAAAGCACAATGAGAAATGATCCACTCTTGTGAGAATGGCCATATTTAAAAGAACGGAAGTAAAAAATGGTGAGGATATGGGAAAAAAATAAGAAGTCATCCATGGTCAGAATGCAAGTTGGTGCAGCCTCTGCAGAAATGGTATGGAGCTTTCTTCAGAAAATACAAAAAATGAAAATACCATATGATCATTGTACATCTCCATCAGGCATTTACCCTAGATATGAAATCTCTAATACAAAAATACTTAGGCACCCATATATTCATAGCAGTACTGGCCACAAGTGCCAGTCATGGAACCAGCCTAAGTGCCCATTGACAGACAAATAGATAAAGAAATTGTAGAATACATGTGCTTGGTGGATTATGTCACACTGCAACGTGGATGGCCTCAAGGTGGTGATGGTAAGTGAAATAAGCCATACAATAAAGGCAGATACTAGGTGGTTTTACTTATTTCTGGAATATAGAAACCAAAAAGCATTAACTGGTAAAATACAGCAAAAAAAAAAATCTTTGAACTAAGGGAAAATAGTTAACTCATAATCAGAGGGAACATGGGGATGGAGTTGTGAATGGGTGGAGGGGCTAGGGCAAATATGGGTGGTTGGGTGTATGGTGGTGTAATAGGGGCACATGTGGAAGGGTAAAAATATGTATCACAACTACATAATATTTTTAAATTAAAAGGGCTCTATCACAGTGTTTCCCAATTCCATAGTGTAAGTATTCCCATTACAGCTGACTTCAATCTACCAGCATGTTACTGTAGAGTTGGGAGGAGCTATAAACCATCAACTTGAAGATGAGGCAAATGGCTCAGCCCCTCACCACATAACATCAGTCCACTGGGAGCAGATCATGAAGCTAGATCTGTGTCTTCATAACATAACAGAAAAAATACAGACATGAACAGTGACATATGTCCAAAGTAGAAGGCCACATACATTTGCAATTGTGTGAAATATTTTTAAAATATTTTGCACAAAACTTTCAAGAGATGAAAAAAAGGAGAACCAGATTTACCTGGGTCTAGGCCCTTACTCCCTTATCCTTCCGTCTTTTTTTCCCCCATGTTTGCATTTATTTATTTGTTTGCTTATTTTTATTGAGGTAAATCTGGTTCTGCTTTTTTTCATCTCTTGAAAGTTATGTGCAACATCAAAGACATCTTTACAGACACATCACCCAAAGCAGTGATAGTGAAGGCAAAGATAAACAGCTGGGACTACATCAAATTAAAAAGCTTCTGCACAGCAAAAGAGACAATAACAAAAACAAAGAGAAACCCCACCAACTGGGAGAACATTTTTGCACACAACACTAATGATAAAGGACTGCTCACAAAAATCTGCAAAGAGCTGATGAGACTCAACAACAACAAAGAAAATAATCCCGTCAAAAAATGGGCAGAAGAGCTAAAAAGAAACTTCTCTGAAGAGGAAATGCAAATGGCCAACAGGCATATGAAAAAATGTTCAACATCACTTGTCACCAGGGAATTGCAAATCAAAACTACCATGAGATACCATCTTACACCAGTGAGAATGGCACATATTAAAAAAACTAGCAACAACAAATGTTGGCGAGGGTGTGGAGAAAAAGGAACTCTTCTGCACTGTTGGTGGGAGTGCAAACTGGTCCAACCACTATGGGGAGCTGTGTGGAGATTTCTGGACCTACTAAACATAGAGCTTCCATAGGATCCAGCAATTCCACTCCTAGGTATTTACCCAAAGGACACAGAAACATCAACTCCAAAGAACACCTGCACCCCTATGTTTATAGCAGCACTGTTTACAATAGCTAAGCTTTGGAAACAACCCAAATGCCCAAAAATAGATGACTGGATCAAGAAGATGTGGTACATATATACCATGGAATATTACTCAGCATTCAAAAAAGATAAACACATGCAATTTGCAGCAACATGGATGGCGCTGGAAGGGATCATGCTCAGTGAAATAAGCCAAAAAGAAAAAGAAAAATACCGCATGGTCTCACTCATAGCAGGAATCTAGAAAACTTAAATAAGGGACCAGAAAAATGAATAACTATAAGAAAGTGAAAATCAAAATCAACAAAAAACTATGAACCAGAGACACTTTTTGGGGGGTGGGGGGTGGGGAGGGGAGGGATTGGGGTCAGAATGGGGGGGTTGCAATTGTATGGGGAATATAAAAATAAAATTTATTATTTTTAAAAAAAAGAAAGTTATGTGCAAAATCTTTTAAAAATATTTCACACAATTGCAAATGTGTGTGGCCTTCTTCTTTGGAGATATGTCACTGTTCACGTGTGTATTTTTTCTGTTATGTTATGGAGACAGAGATCTAGCTTCATGATCTGCTCCCAGTGGACTGAATTTATTTGGTGGGGGGTGACCAGCTCTGCCTCATCTTCAAGTTGATTGTTCACAGCTCCTCCCTCTCTGGTTCTCCCTCCCCCTCTAGCAGCTTCAATTGTATGGTCATATTTCTATTGTTTGTGTTCGGTTTGGTATTAACAGTTCCTTCGTTTTGTTTTCCTATTTTCCACATATAAATAAAACCATCCAGTTTTAATCTTTCAGACTAATTTAGCATAATCCCCTCCAGTTCCCTCTATGTTGTTGCATATGTCAAAATTTCATCTTTTATAGCTGAGCAGTATTCTATTGTGTACATACACCACAACTTCTTCATGTACTCCTTTCTACTGGGCATTTAGGTGCACTTGCATCTATAGGGTGGTAATTAACATAGAAATGCATATTCCTTTGAATTAGCATTCTTGTATTCTTTGGGTAGTAACCTGGTAGTGAAATTGCTGGATTATATGGAATTTTCATTTTTACTTTTTTTTAGGATGAGTCCAGAGCACTTTCCAAATGGCTGCACCAGTTTATATCCCTAACAACAAATTGTTCCTCATTTTTTGCATTCCTTCCAGGATTTGTTGTTGGGAGTCTTTTAATATGTGCCATTCTCATGGGTGTGAAATGATATCTCATTTTGTGATTGTGATTTTTACCTGCAGCTCCATTATTAGAAACACTGGTGAACATTTTTCCATGTGTCTATTGACTTTTATCATTTTTGATAACTGTGTAGAATCCTGATTGGACTGTTTGGGGTTTTTTGTTGTTAAATTGACTAAGATTTTTGTGTCTCTTGGATGTTTACCCCTTATAGTTTGTGTAATATATAAATATTTACTCCTGTCTCTTAGGATAGCTTTTTAAATCTTACATTTTCTTTCACTGTGTAAAAGCTTTTTATTTGAGGTAGCTCCTCGAATTAAATTATTTTTTGCTTGTATTTCCCTTTCCATAAGGGTTGAGTCTCCAAAAACATATTTACCATTGATGTCATGAGACATATACCCAATATTTTCTTCTATGCATTTTATTGTTGCAGGTTTTTAATCTAAATCATTAATCTATGTTGTGTTTATTTTTGTGTATGGACTTAAAAAGTAATCCAAATTCATTCTTTTACATGTGGCTGTCCAGTTTTCCCAACACCAGAATTAACTGACTCTCCTTATTTCAATGTATGGTTGTGGTTACTTTGCCATCATTTAAGTATTCATAAATTTCTGGATTTTTATTCTGTTAAAAAAAAAAAAAAAAGGAGAATAATGTAATGAGGATAATGAATATTTAACAAACCAAGACACCAAATCTGACCTAGTTGATGCATTAACATCTCTGACAGCAGAATGCATGTTCTTTTCAAGTTACATGGAGTTATCTACCCTCTCACAATATTTATCACATAAGTTATCTATCCTCTCACATCTCATGGTGTTTGTGACTCAAATCAGATGATTTATAGGTCGTCACTTGAAAAAATTAATCTTATTGACAAATGTATCTAAGGCCTGTTTTATATCTCTATTCCTCAGGCTGTAGATGAAGGGGTTCAGCATGGGGGTGACGACCGTGTACATCACAGAGGCGATCATGTCTTTGTCTCTGGAGGTGGACGATGAGAAGTAAACTCCTGCAGAGGTCCCATAGTATAAAGACACAACAAGAAGGTGGGAGCCACAGGTAGAGAAGGCTTTAAAGAGACTTTTAGTGGAGGGGACCCTCAGGACCGTCATCCCTATACGGACATAGGAGCCCAGGATGCCACCCACACACAAGGTAAAGAACAATCCTCCCTCAGTGAAGATGACCAACTTATTGAGGGACACGTCTGAGCAGCTCATCTTCAGGAGTGCAGGGAGGTCACAGAAGAAGTTGGAGATGGTATTGTCAGCACAGAAGGACACTTGGATCAAGAGCAGGGTGTGCAAGAGAGAGTTTATAAGGGAAAACATCCAGGATCCTGCTACTAAGGAGACACACAGCTCCTGCCTCATGATGGTGGTGTAGTGGAGGGGCTGACAGATGGCCACATACCTGTCAAAGGCCATCACTGCAAGAAGGAAATTGTCAAGACCAGCAAAGAACACAAAGAAA